GCCCATTTGTGGCAAACAAACTCTTGTAATACAAGACACGTCTTGATAAGGCAACTCGTCATCGGGAATTCGAATCGGCTCACCAAGAATGGAGAGGTCCAAGGAGAAACTGCTCGTTCCAATGACCAAAATGGCGACCATACGCTCGGCTCTACTTTCCCCTGACCCGGTCACTTTACTGGTCACCGGTCCTCCTGGGTTTCTAGAATCCTTCCAGCAGGTACACTGCGCGACCGAGAAATTTACGTGTTTTTTTAAATATTTTCTGCTTTACTATTAGAATCAAAAGTCTGTCACCTAAACTACAAGTATACCAAAAAATGGTCGTTTGGGGGGACTGACCTAAGAGGTGGGGAAAATGTTCTTCTCATTAGTATTCCTTCGAAGTAAAATGCCAAATTATGCCGATGTCCGATTCGCGCTACCAGTATCGAGCAGTGTACGCAAAGTAAGAGCCATTAAGAAGACAAAGAGAAATACCTATTGTTACGCCCCTATTAAGAGCAATGCTTTAAAAAACACGTGAGATATTGGCGTTAGCCATTACGACGTGTGTAAATCATAGGTGATTAAACATTACGCAACTCTAACCACATTATTACTTGTAACGCGTAGCCCGCGATACGTGTGTCTTTTTCGCATTATCGTGGAGTGCCTTCAAAAGTAAAATGCAATGAAACGTCGAGTGATAATATCGAGCTAAAAAACGCAAGTACTAGGAAAGTGCGCATGAGAGATGGAAGAGAGACAGAGCGGAGAGGAGGAAAGATATGGAAGGAGGGGTTAACAGAGTGGGAAAGAAGGACTATGGCCCGGGGTGGGTGGGGGGGGGGTGAGAGAATAGATTCAGCAAATTGCCTTGTCACTACTCGTTGAGAAAATTGTCGTGTGGGCGAGGCTCGCCCCCGGCAAGAAATAAGCTCCTGCATTTGCCTTCTTTTTTTTCTTTTTTTAGTTATAATTGGTTTTGTATAATCTTTTGTTTCTTTAGCAATATGAGAATTTTAGCTTTCAAAGTTCTCCCAGATGTTAGAGGGATATTTTGGTTTATTGAAAACGCGCTCGCAATGCCGTGAAACGTTTCACGTTCTTTTTATTTATTTATTTATTTAATTTCTCGCGGTATGGCTTGTTTAGTTCGCCTGTTTTTTGTTTGTTCGTGAATTGGAATCGACTCCGGGAGTGTTGGATTATGAAGTGAACGCCGCACGAAGTCGACGTGGCGTGCCTTTTCGGGTGTCTGCCTGTGAAGACAATTTGCAAAATAAATAAATGAATGAATGAAGCACTATACGTTTTCCATTTCTCTATTCGTGGAAACTTTTCAAGGCAACGGGTTTTAGATAAGTCTATCGATGGTAGCTAACGGAGCAAGGTGGCGACACCAGCTCAGGTTTGATATGAGTCACATATTTGCGTGATGAAATAGTTTTTGAGCTCCAAAACGTTAGCATAAACACGCCGACATTGACACCCTCTTCGCAGTTCACAACTCGAGTTTGTTATCGAAAACAAAATATTACTGCATAGGTGGGTATATTACGCGAGTAGATTCCAGTAGCCCTGTTTCGTCTTGATATCATAGGTTTAGCTCATAAAGAGGACGTAGAAACGTCGGCAACAAAGTGTTCCGGTTTTATCGTGTTTCGTACTGAAAGACTGCAATAACTTATAAAAGTGAGAAAGATAATCTGGTTTGGTCAGGTCGTATCCAGCTTTTGCGAATTTTAAAGGGGTCATGAAACCATATGCGGTTCGAATGTTCATGACTTTAGCAGAGGCGTACTGGTCCAAGTCTGGCCCAAGTATACTCGCACAGGCCGCCACTGATTCAGGAGCTTCTTTGTCGAGGTAAAACTACGAAGATAAAAGGGGGCTATTTCTTTCAGTCTTGCTTCACAAAGCTTGATTGATTGATTGATTGGAGTTTTATGGCGCGAGAGTAACTAGGCCAAAATGCGCCAGGTGCATACACTATTGCAGGAAAAGGGGTAGGGAGAAGACAGAGCTATAGTAGCTGGTGATGCAATAAAAGTATGAACATGAATCGTGTAAATGATATGGATATGAATTTCAGGTAAATATAAAAGTTATAATCAATAAGGAATTATCTGAAAATAAAAACACACCGTGAAAAAGGAGGGGTTCACAAAGCTTGATTACGTAATTGTGGGATCGAAACCACGCGCCTGATGACAGTCTAGCGCGGCTTATGGATCGGACACGAGAACTGCGTGAGCACTCGACTTCGGCTCGTAACAATCAATGTATTGGCGGACACATGGGTATAGTGGCTCGTGTCAAACCATTGCGGTGATGAGAATTCGAGGCGAGAGGTTTAGGTGTCGCCGCTTGGTGGAATTTTCCCACAACCCAGAGTGAGGACACTTCAACTTCCTCTGCTGGTGCAAGCACGTGCAATGCCAAGCTTCTGTGCACTACGAACATGAAAACATAACCGCGTGGGCAGCACGTTCACTCCCCAGACTGAGGAAAATAGAAGTACCCCTAGCAAGCTTCTCACTCCGAATAGCCGAACTCTAAAAATGCCTGGAGCTCAGCACGGGTTTTCCACTTTGCCAACCCCAGCGTGTGGCTTTGAATACCGTCGGTGGCATAAGAAAGGCACCAGGCTACGTGGCCGCTTGTTCTGGCTCCGAGTTGAGGGGATGAACGATGCTCATCTTTCTCGAATTTGTTCGGTGACTGCCTTTACCTATAGAAATAAAAACTAAGGCACATTTGCTCAGTTATTAACGTTAGGGAGGGATTCTAAGTAGTACTTAGCGAAGGTAAAGAAAATAGCTTTTTAAATCCGTTAAATAAATAAAATAAAAAAAACTATGTATACTAAAAAAATTAACTTGAGATTAGGCGTATATTTGCTTGCGAACATTGGCAGGAATTGTTTGTCTGTTTCCCTGGTCTTATCAATACAGAAATGCAGCACATTCACTATACACGCTGTCAACTATTATTTGCTCCCTTATCAAATCTATGTAGTTATTACAATAAACGCTAGAGGCTCAGCTGGCGCTGACGTCTACTGGACTTTTGGTTGCAAATTGAAGCAGGCAGCAAACAGTCTACTTATCCAGTCTCCCAGTGTATTCCTATGGCGAAACGTACGTGACATTTTTCTCTTCCCTAGGGAATAATAGAAATGAGCGTAGTTTCTTTACTCGTAACGGCTTTAGTTTTATTCACATTATAAAACTTAATTTATTTAGTTAATGTTTTTTTTTTTAATTACTGAACAATGTTTAAGTTAAAGGCCGGCCCGCAAGCAGAGAGAAGGAACCCGACCCTCACTTTCCTTCTCGCCACTGTGAAAGGAGGAAATCGCCTCTCGTTTCCTCCTTGCCATTTTCCGATTTTCTTTTTGTTTTTTTTACAAGTTTGGGGTGGAGGAAATGAAAGCTTCAAGGATTTGAAAAGATTATCCAGAAGCCAGCCGGCACACCTGCGACAAGGAGCTGACCGAGTAGCTGTTTTGAGCGAGCTTAGCACTCGCTCTTCCCAACGAGTTGCATTGGCTCTTTTTTAGCATTGGTTTGGAAGACGATTCTTTGCTGTTGTGAGAGCACAAATGCCTTGTTCTGCTCAAAGAAGTAGTCATTGAAGTATCAATTTTAATATAAATATCTGATTTGGCATCTTTCGTTGTTTAGGCGGATTCATGGCGACAACGGGAAGTACGAGCGGCGTTTTCTGTATATCAGGGATGGCGCTCCATAGACCAGAGGTTCTGAATCATCATGGTTCGTAAACCGGCAGCGGTGACGGGGGATCCCATCCGTAGTGGGTATAGTACTTTTCGGTGTAGAACGTTTTGCTGTAGGGCATTTCGGTGCGGACTTTTTGGTGCACAGACATTTCAGTGTACGGACTTTTTGCTGCAAAGACTTTTCGGTGCGCGGATATTTCGGTGCACGGACATTTTGATACATGGACATTCGACGCTATGGTTTGCTCGCCGGTATCTTTTTTCCAACGTACGCAGACACGCTTCACATCGTGTTCGTGCGTTGAGTTGATAGAGATAGTCTCCTCTATAATGTTTTGGCTTTATTATTGGTCCTGCGAGTAGGAAACGACCCAAACAGCAAGACGTTTGAAGTTGTTTGTGTATTCAGAACAATTTTGAATATCTTCAAATGCGCCTCCTCTGCGTAACCGCATAGCTCCGATTGTTAATAATAAATTGTGATGACCTCACACGACAAAAAAAACCAATGTAATTATCACTTGTAACTCATTAGGGAATAAAGGAGGCGTGTGCGGGTACAAAATAAGTGTAATCAAATCAAATATCGATTTGAATCAAGTAAACAAGCCGAATTTGGTGAATGCTAAATCTATTTTATTTGGTATCAAATGTTTGCTCATTCTCGTACGAAAAAAAAAGCAGTGACCACAGATTATACACAGAGTATGTATGATCTGTGGTCAACGTCTCCCTCCATGCCGTAATGATGTCGCTGGACGTAAAGAACTGCCTTACAATCGTGCTTATACAGAGCAATTTTTTTTTAACGACTAGGCATTTTTCTAAAAAAACACGTCAGAGTTACTTATTTGCGGTTTGTGCCTTAAGGCCCGTTCACACTGGGCCGTTTCTTACGTTATGTTAAGTTACGTTACGTTATGTTATGTTAACGTTACGTTTCGCTTGCGTACAGCACGTTCACACTGCTCCGTAAAAGCTCCGTTGAAAACATGCAACGACCAATAGCAAATCACCTGTATTGTCCGAGATTAGCCAACAGCAAGCGAGCTAGCCAGGCAACACTGACAGACATGGCGGCCAGCGAGCGTACGGTCGACTGTCGTATGGTCTGTAGCAGTGACATGTCTCCCTCGAACTGCGAAAGTCCAGATATGCTGCATGCGCTGTTTGTTCAATGCATCGAGAGCTACGTTGCTCAATCCGGTAGCGACACGGACTGGGCATTGATAGCGCGAGCCACCGCTGCGATGATTCTGCGGTCTCGACGAAGGCGCCACTGTCGAGAGTGGATACGGTTCCTTCTTCGATCGAGGGAAACGTTTGGCGAGTTCCATCACCTCGTTCGAGATATGCGTCTGGACAACGGGAGCGACTTCTTCCAGTACTTCAGGATGACGCGGCAAAGGTGTGTGTGTGTTCCTCCCTAGGAATCGCTTGTAAAACGAAGCCAGCCGCGCACACAGGAGCTCACTGCTATTTTTGTGCAGGTTCGACCAGCTACTTGCTCTGGTTGGGCCCCAACTACAACGAGAGGCAACTCCTTGGAGGAAGCCGATCTCCCCAGCGGAGCGGCTATCGCTAACAATCCGGTAAGCCAGGACACCTTATAGGAAGTACATACTTTGATTACATTCGGGGGATTCCGAACGTACTACCGCGAATATGAGTTGCAACAGTCAATTTTGCTTTTTGCTATTCGTGCGGATGTAGTAAACCTTATTATCTCTTGATCTGCGAAAAAGTTAGAAGAATGGTACCTGAACTTTGTATTGCAGGTCTAATATGGATCAAAACTTCTCCAGAAACGGACAGAGATATGTACGCGAAAGCATGAAGGGCTGTTGTAGCTCATATTTTCCGTGATACTGAATTGCTGACGAGGTTGTTGGTTGTTTTGTTTGCGTGGCAGACGCCCTCCCCCTTCCTCCCCCAATATTGAAACATCGGTTGTAGAGATTTGATAATTGAAACTTAACGCATGTGCACTTTCATCCCTGAACATTTCGTCAACATAATAGACCTGTTTCTGTGCTGAAGTATGCATTAGGCGGGATGCTCCACCTGTATCTCACTTTGTCACAACACCACAGCAGTCTTGTGTTGCACCATGCTGAAGCGAGGAGGGGCCTCACTTGTAGAGTTTATTTTTGTTATGTTTTTCTGATTTTCACCTTGGCACAATTCTTTACCCGCTTCAAGCGCCGTTCGCACTCTTGCGACTGAGTAAGACCGAGAGAGACCAGGCCAGTTTTTAAGCCTCTTGCGATTTTTTAGGACCGGGTGCGCTGCAGCGGAGCTGGTCCTAAGAGATTGCAAGAGGCTTAAAAACCGGTCTGGCCTCTCTCAGTCTCACTTGGTCGCAAGAGTGTGAACGGCGCTTCAGTCTCCTTGAAGGTTACTCAATGGTCTTCCTCACCAAACTAGTTCAATCAAGACAGAAAGGTAGACGAAGCGAATAACAGGAATTTATAAATGAACTTTCTGTAAACTAATTTTCTTATTTAAAATCGCCTAGGAGGTAGGTGAGAAGATGGCACGACCATTACTCTCTGTGATTTTGTCTTCTTTTATATGCTAGACTACTGCTATACTCCGTTTCACTTTATGTTGTACCGCAGCGAAGGCTAGAAGCTCGAGCTCATAGTGTTGGCAGCTGCCCTTAATGCACGAGAGCTTGTGCTGCCGAGGTGCGCCATAGAGCAAGGAGCTCGCGCTTGTAGCCTTTCCTGCGGTACAACACAAGGTGAAACAGAGTATAGCAACTACTGGCATAGTTTTCCAGTCCACTTGTATGCAATTGGAGGCTTATTGAAACTTACCGCTGTAAGGTTGACTTGTTAGGCCACCTCCTTGTTTACATGTGCTTATGGTGGCTCTCAATTTCAATGTTTCAGGTACCTGGCGCACGGATCCTCGCAGAGAATCTGCGCATCCTGTTACAGGATTGGACGTTCAACGACCTCCCTCATTATTGGGGAAACCTGTCGGGCGCTACATAGAGTGCTGGACCCACTGTACAGAACTGTAAGCACAGCACTTAACTGTGTCACCAGTGCATGAGGCATGTGCAACACAGCCCTTATTGTGTATGCTCCGAAAGGCAAGCAAAACATGGCTCGTGTCTATACTCTATCTCAGTAGTTCCGTGCAGCAGTGTGGAATTTATGGATTTCCCCAGCCAATGAGGATGGCCAACACCCCTAACGTGTTCTTCCATGCGTCATCTCCTTGTAGTCTGCTCGCACCAGCTCGTAGCAACCGAATGCACGACGAAGCCGCGAGGCTATCTGCTCAAAACGTCATGCTACTTCCTCCATCCCCGTCATTTCGTACGCCCCTCTTCGCACGAGTTTTTGTGCTCGTTTACCAACGCTGGGCAAACGCTCCAGTTGTGCCGCCGCAAAACAGGCAAGTTTCGCCTGCTTCACCTGGCGAGATGAGCCTGCTCTGGCCATGGCTCCAGCGAACGCAGGAGGCCTTTGATGTGCACGAGCAATTTCACAGTGATACGGTGTCACTAATACCAGAGGTGAAATGAAACTCAGCACCTTTCCAGCAAAAGAAACCGGGAGGGCAAAGCTGTATACGAAGAATGAGAACGGGGTTGACATACTGGCACGCATGTGGGTCAGCCGGAACAGCGCGCTTCGTTTGCCTGCGTCACATCACAAACGGAACAATGTAACCCTTTAAAAGGGTGAAAAGGTAGGTTAAAATGCTGGTTACTAAATGCTAACAGTCCCTCCGAACATCACTTTTGACAACGACCCGAACACCTGTGAGGCTAGTTTGTGACGGCATATACGTTTTTCGTTACATTCGTGCTATTGTGTGTCTCCCTACGGAAGCGACAGATGCCCTCGACCAATTAGGATGGCGAATGCTTCCTACAAGGTGTCCCTCAGCGCCTTGTCGTCTCTTCCAGGTGCCCGCAGCCAGAGTGTTAGAAGTAGCGATGAAACAACGCTTTAAAAAATAGGGTTTTGCTGAGCCGTGACTGCTTTGCATGCCCGGTTTTGCTCTATATTTCTACGTCTGCTGTTTTCTGAGCTGCTGATGTTGACTCCAATGGTGGTTGTTCCAAAGAAACACATGCTTTGGAGAGGTAGTCTTGTCGTAGCTGCCACAATCTGCACACAATTGACCTTTTTCAGAGTTCATTGAGGCGACCGTGGCGCACCCTCGTGGAGATAATTCAAAACGTTTGCGGGCTCAGTCCGTCCTCCCGTCACCACGTTCGCTTCCTAGACGCGATCGTTTTGGTGCGTTCGTTGTGGAGTTTTTCTCGCTGTTTTCGGGCTGTCGTTCTCTACAAATGGCTGATGACGATCCCGGAGGATAGAGTAAAGCAACCGTCTTTGACACTGCGGACTTTATCCGTCTGTACGCTTTTCAAGACGGATAGATTGCCGATGCTGCATCGGTACCGGTCGTCAACACAGCGTGCGTTGATCGGTACTTCGCAAAGGACTGCAGGCAACTCCGAAAACGATGGGCATTCAAAGAAGAAGCCTACGTCAAGGAGGTCATGGTGAATAACTTTGATGTCGACCACACCGTTCACCATGTAAGGAGCACGTGTGCACTGTCTATGAAGCCGGGACATTACAGGCAACTGATGTCGCTTTCCAAGAGCGCCGGTATTGTTCAAGCGTACTGCGACTGCGTTGCAGTGTGAGTTTATTTCTTCGGTAAAACCCGTGGCGATGTAATAATGTGTCTTAAGGATTACAAGATGTGTCAATATTTGTAAGGCGTGAGCCCCATAGTCGCTATCCTTTCGGCAGATTTGTATCAAGATCCGTGTGTGCCTGTCCTTTGATCATATTTTATGCGTGACGCGATAAGTTATCTAAAAAAACAAAACAAAAAACAAGATTTGTAGTCTTCGTCTTTTTTGTGGTACTTCAGCACGCAACTAAAAAGGGCCAAGCTATGTCATCGATCTACTTATCGAACTAGGTGACGTGTTGATATAAAATTCTGTAGTAGGACATTTTTTTATTCAATATTTTATTGAGTTTCAAGCGTAAATATATACTTTGCAGCTTGAGCGGAACATGCCAGCACATAGCTGGCCTGCTTTTTACACTATGCGACAGTGTAAAGATCTCTTTTCCGTAACAACGGCTTGGCGACCCGCCTCTTCGCTGCCCTGCTGTACCGTGCAAGCAAACTCGGTGCGGAGGCAGGTGTCGGCTTCTATGTAAACAAGGAGGGAGCGAAGTCTGGGTGATTCTGGTCTCGTGAAGATACCCCTGCGTCGTAAAAATCAGGAACAAAAACCCTTGCTATGAATGTCTAGCCTGCACGGAGTATGACGGGTATATCCTGAGTTCAAACAAATATGAATAAACTAACCTCTAATGAAGTGGACGCTGCAAACACGCGTGTTCGCAGATGGCTGCCAAGGCGTCCCGTCGGAGTTCTGGCGTCGCAGCGCTTGAATCCATTTTTCTCTCTTCTTGAGGTGCGCGGTAACTTTCGGGAATCTAAAAATGCTCACGTTCGGCGTGTTTTTCTTGCTGTTTGTACATCCAACAGCCGAGCAGCGGTAAGGCATCGCGACTGTGCCGGACAGACGCGCCTAGCAATGCGAGCGAAGCCAGGCAGCGTACGGGGAGAGCCCGCAAAGATGGCGCCTTTCCCTTTCCTACTCTCTCCTCAAGTTCGGGCATGCGCACAAAATTCTCCGAAAAAGGTCAATTGTACGTCGACTGCTTAATCAACTCGAAAATGTGAGTTTATGCTGGGCCGCCACTGCTTTCCATGCCAGATTTTGCTTGATATTTCTGCGTCTGCTATTTCCTGAGCTGCTGATGTTGACCGTGATAGCTGCTGTTCTAAAAAACACGTGCTTTGGTGGGGTAGTCTTGTCGTAGCTGCCACAATCTACACACAATTGTATGTCTACTGCTTAATCAGCTCGAAAACATGAGTTTATGCGGGGCCGCGACTGCTTTGCATGCCAGATTTTGCTTCATATTTCTGCGTCTGCTGTTTCCTGAGCTGCTGATGTTGAATCCAATAGTGGTTGTTCCAAAGAAACACATGCTTTGGTGAGGTAGTCTTGTCGTAGCTGCCACAATTGTACGTCGACTGCTTAATCAGCTTGAAAATATGAGTTTATGCTTCACATATCTCGAAACATTTCATCAGCACCTACTTTTCCGCAGCATTTCGGCGGCTGCTTTTAGCTCTGACACGGCCTCGTCCCAGGCTAGGGTAGGTTAACTTTTGCGTTAGATCGACCTTTGCAATCCACATAGCAAAATAAGCCTCTTGTCAACATAGTCGCGGAAGACACTTGGTGGTGGAAGCAAGTGCGGACGTGACAATATAAGCAGAATCGCAATATTTGGAAAAACCACAGCAAGGGCTGTGCTGCCATTTCGGATGTTGCGAGTTTCGTGAATTGCTTTTCTAACTGTATTGTGTTCTGTAACCACAAACACCTAGCCTTGAATTCTCTATTGAAACAGCGTTCTTGTTTTCTTGGTGTCCGGTCCAGTGCCTTGAGTGTGGTTTTCATGTGGCGGTCGAACTGACCACAACTCATAAGTACATTATTGTTCTAGCCTCCCAACATGGCCCAGTGGGAGCGGATGGCAGGCAACTTCGCAAGGCTGTGGAATTTCCCCAACTGTGTCGGAGCTGTGGATGGGAAACACGTGACCATCCAAGCCCTCCCTGGCGCAGGCTCCGACACATACAACTACAAGGGATTCCACAGCATCGTCCTCCTTGCAAGTTGTGATGCTACATACAAGTTTACACTTGTGGATGTCGGCCAGCCAGGTCGTTTCAGCGACGGGGGCATTTTTCGGGGCTCCGAAATGGGGCAGTCCTTAATGACTGGAGGCCTTGACCTTCCCCCCCCTGCACACCTCCCTGGAACACGCACTAAGCTGCCCTACGTGTTTGTGGCTGATGAGGCGTTCCCCCTGCTCCCAAACCTCATGCGCCCTTATCCAAGGAAAGACCTCACGGTGGTGCCAAAGGTGTTCAACTATAGGCTCTCACGTGCACGGAGGGTTATAGAGAACACCTTTGGCATCTTGGTTGCAAGATGGCGCATCTTCAGGCAGCCGATCCAGGCCTCAGAGGAGAATCTGGAAGCGATTGTCTGGGCATGCGTCAGCTTGCACAACTACCTGAGGACGTGTGACGAGAGTGAGCAAGGGGAACGCCGCTACTGCCCTGCTGGCTATGCCGACCAAGAAGGTGTGCTTGGGAATGTGGTGCTTGGCCAGTGGAGGGCCGAGGTGAACGATGGCGGTGCCCTTGTAGACGTGGGCCGCACAAGCTCAAACATGTACAATGACGATGCCAAGAAGGTGAGGCAGACATACGCTCGGTACTTCTGCTGCCCCGCTGGCGAAGTTACATGGCAGTACAAAAATGTTTACAAAGGCTTGACACCAGCTGTCCAAGCACCCAGTTGTCCCTAAGGCCACTCACTGCATATGCAAAGGTTATTTCCGGGAAATTGCCCTGTTGGCATCGTCACCAATTATTTATCACAATGTACAGTCGCTCTAGTTGTACCTTTGGTCCTGGGGACCTTTTCACCCGCTGCCATATCCCATCTTGGGATGACGTCCCATCACGTCCCATCTTGGGACGACGTGACATGGCCGCCATAAAATGAATGAAGTTTCTTGCTCGACTATCTGTAGCTGTTCGTGCCGAGCAAATGTAGTGCATTCATGTTTTTTTGTGCGTTTGGCACATTTTTTTTTATTATTTCAGAAACTATTGTCCAGTGTTTAATACGCCATCACTTACATGTAAAATATTCAGAAATATTTTTAATGAAGTTATAATGCACTTTCAACCTTGGTGCACTGGATGTGTTTTATGGAGCAAAGATGAGTGCCAGCAATTTTTTCGTTGAGCAGGAAAATTAACGCAGGAGAAGCACGACTGTTTAGTCGTCATCCGGTCATGGAAATGCGATCCACAGAGAAATACATATTTTATATTAGTTTTAATGACGCGCAGTGTCATGGTTAGACTACTCGTTTTCTGTTTATCTTACTTACCTCGTATACACATGAAAGGTCAGTGAAATAACAGCGTTGGAAGTCCCTGAAACAGTCAGTTATTTTTGGTTGTCTTGGGGAACTCGCGAAGAAAACCAGACGGAATTTGTTAGTCGCCTTTGACCAGGTGCTTTAAATATTCTTTCAGGTTATTGCTTTCTCCAGAGGATTGTTTTTAAGCGTACTTTCAAATATCTTACCATGAAATTTTCGTTTTAACTTGTCTCTGAATTACGTGTGACATGTCCGAGGTGACAAAAATGCTTTGTGGGTTTTCAAGCATATTGGCACTATGTGACTTCAAAAAATCCAAAGTAATGAGGAATTTTTCGTGTGGCCTTGAGTGAACAGAAAGCGCTCCACCCAGTCTGGTTGTCCCAAGTAGGAATACACACCAACAGGAGCTTGCTACAGGTGTCAGTTCGATGCTCGGGTTGGTTGGCTGAAGCTGTTTTTTCCCCATGCCTTGCCAGAAATGTGTTTTTCTTTTTTCGGTGACCCCATTTTATTTGCTGTGTAGCATTTTGTTGGAATAGTTGCAAGTGTTGTCAGTTTCTCTGCATTCTGTATCGAGCATTACCATTAATATGTTTGACCTCATAAATGATTTCACAGCCTTGAGTTCGAGGCAGTATTGCTTTCTGCTGCCAGAGGTGCCCAAAAATTGATGAAGCAAGCACGAAGTAGCCGAGATTTCAGTCAAAGTGCTGACCAAACCTATACGGAACACAGGCGACAATTGTAATGCAGGAAAAGTATAATGTGTGATCACACTGGGGCATATTTATGAAAACTGAAGGTACATGGCGACATTATGGGACATAAAAACAAATGCTTTGGTGCAAGCTTCAAGCAATGCATGGTCGTAGAACGAAAGAACAAAATATAGCAAGAATATGCCTGTAGGCATTGCTTTTTTTTTTTTTTGTTTTTTTTGTTTAGTGAGTGCTGGCATGCACTGATGTACTATAGCAGCCAGCATACTGGTCACTATAGTACATTATAGCATCTCGGATAGTCTATATTATTCATTATTACTTTGCTGGCATGCGACATAGTTTTCAATGGGATCATTCATTTTTTTCAGTTTGTGTATGACAAATTATGTAGAGAAATGTGTTAATTAAATGACACAGAACTATCCCAAAATAGTTTCTTTATTTGGTAAGTACTAGCTGTGAGTACTTTGTATTGGGAAGCAAGGAAAGAAGTACATATGTAGTCTGTAGTCAGTAAGAGGGTAAAAACCGAGTGGGAGAGGAGGGGGTAGGCGAAAGCTTGGGGTGGAGAGGAAAAACCTCAGCTCCAACCTCCCGTCTGGTTCCTCCTCTCCCACTCATACTCCGTTCTCGACCTGTCAATGACAATAGATTATCACACTTAAAGTAAATAGGAACAAAATAAACATATTGCACTTGGTTGGCAGGTCTCAATATAAACAAAAACACAATATAAAGTTTCAATGCACCCAGCAAAGTAGGAAGCCATTAAGCAACAAGAGTGGAAACTAAAAGGGTAACAAATATTGCAAGAGGCCTTTTACCCGGCATGAAATCATTGGGCAAGGTTTGTTGTTTTCAATCTAAATATGGTTCTAAATTCAAGGTACTATTTAGGTTTCTTTTATCTACAGAGGCAATATCTGCTTATTTATTCTTGGAGAGTATATACATGAAAGCTTACCCGTTATTTTTTTTCCTTTCTGAGCTGTATGCTTTTTTATTCAAACAGACCACCGGCTACAAACAGGCATACAATGGGAACCGTAGCCGTGTTACTCGAACAGGAACCGTAGCCGTGTTACTGGAACAAACAGGAACACCACATAAATGTGGTGTTCCTGTTTGTAATCAAATTTATTAAAACTTCTATACTCAAATGGCCCTCCCGAAAATAAAGTGGCAACTTGACAAGGTTGAGGTTAGTTTGGCAAACAAGTATATACAGTCACATCTCATTAGTATGGACCCTGTTATTATAAACGCTCTGCAATTTTGAAAAAAAATTTTACAGAGGGATTTGCTGTTATGTAATTGTGCCCCGTTAATATAGAAACCCACAGTCCGAACTATGGACCACTTTTTTGGGGAATGAATTGGGAATATACATGCATTCTTGTCTCTTTAATATGAATGAAAGTTTTCTAAAATAGGTCAACACAAACAATGTGAACCCTAGAGGTCACAGTCTGTACACAAATGTTTGTGGCCTGTCTTGAGATAAGACCTGCCTACCTAAAGATGGTAACGTTTCCAGCCTTAATGTGCCCTTTGCCCCCCCCGATTGTTGTTTGAGGTCAAGGACGGCATGTGATAAATCCCATTCATTTGTCAGATGCACTCTTAGTGCATAAAAAGCAAGGTTGCACGGTTTTGTGGTCAGTTAGGAAGTGGGAAAGACAATATCTGGTGGGAAGCAAAATGGTCAGAGGCCATGGCAAGTGTGAAATGTAAGCAAACAAAGCTGTTAGCTCAGCTCAGAAAAAGAGATATACAAATTCAAAACTGAAAAGACTTCAGGACATGTGCAATATGTTAAAGACCCACCCCCTCATAAAAAAAAAAAAAAAGCTTGGCTTTACTTTTGCAAGATTGACTGTGCACGCTTTCTCGGCAGAAAAGTGGGCCGAAAAGTAACATTGAAAACTTACATCCCATAAATTTGTGGTTAAATATACCATGCTTTTTTACAGCGGAGCTGTTAAGGGCTAGGTTCCCCAGGATCGTGTCCGGTATGTCGACACAAACCTGCCTGGACAGCTACCGCCATCTATAACCAATGGCGGCAAGCACACAACCAGAATGATTTCCGCCGTCGATCGTAGATGGCGGCAACCTTTCCAGCTGTAATAGAAGAATGGATAGTTGGGCGCGTTGGTAGGAATTCATCATAGGAAACAGCGCGAAAAACGGACGACGACGAAGAAGAATCACACAGTGTATCGAGCACAGCTCCGCTGGTCTTCCTTTTTCACGAGAGTGGAAAGGCTGAACGATCTTGTCTACGCTCGTTATCTAATAATTGCATGCGTTCTATACTCGTTTTCACCTCAAGAAAAAAAGGACGTTTTACGCATTGTTCATACGCCGGGCGTAGTAGTTCTTACAAGATTTGGTTGTCGGAGGAAGAAGCGATGCTTTTGGCGCTTGAAACGTATACATCTTGATAAAGTTACATATATCTAATCTAAAATGCACCTACATATATATTAATTCTCCTCATAAAAGGAAAAAGTAGTGATGCTCCGCGAGGAGCCAAACTTTTTTTACTTCGGTTCTTGAGGTGAAAACGGGTATAGACTGCGATTTGTTATTACGGATGATTTTTTCAGGGAATGGAGGTGTCCATATTAATGAGCCATGACTGTATAGGCAAACCTTGTCAAAAATATCATTTTCTACTCTAATCTAAAGACATAAGGCCTTTTTCTACTAGATTTCTTTTTTCAAATTCGTGGAACACCTTCAGTACTTTCTCCTTGCAAAGGCACCTCAGATGTGGTGGAAGGGCCGCCAGCTCGTTGGCAAAATGAAACCCCAGTGCCATTTCTGGGGTTAAGGCATCAATGTGTGGCCTTTTACATGTGTTGGCCATTTGCCTCGTAGATTCACTAAGAACCTTGCCCAGCGCTGCATCCTCCCGGGCACGACGCTCCGAGGCGGTAATCTTGCGGCCTGGCTTCCTTGAAGGCGGGTGTGGAGGCACTGCGGGCAAGACCGTAGCCTGCATCGGTGCTGCCACTGGGGCCACCTGGGGTGGTGACACCGGAGGAGTCGGGTCCAGCTGAGATGGGCTGGGCAGCTGGCCATCCCCCTCCAGCGTCAGCAACACCTGGCAGGTGCCCGTTGGCTGCAGGCTACGATCGAGGGAGTTCTACAAAGAAAATGGGCACATTCCTGCACTGCACTTAAAACAGGTTGCTTCAAGACAATGCACTTACGTCGTCCAGGTTGGCTTCACAACTTTCCTCTGCCATGTCTTCGGTGGCACCTCCCCCACATGGCGTGTAGACCCCCATGAGGAGATCTGCATGTTGAAACACAATGTAAATGTTGAACATGAGTGAGCACAAAATTCATGAAACCACTCACACACCAATGCCTAAATGTACTTTGATTTCTAAATTGAGAGTAACAGACTTTGTTAAAAGTCAATGTTGCCAACTATTTCACATACCCCTTGGTGTCTCCAATACCCCTGTGGCAGGGCCAGCGCTGCCAACCATCTTGCGGGCCTTGGTTCTAGTAGAAAACAGCATATTGAATGAACACAAAGAAATCATATTTATAGTTGTCAATAAAACCTTGTAGAGAACAAACAGTACCCTCTGCGACGTATCTGGCCTGCTAAAAATTGAAGGTACGGGAAGAGGTCCCAGCTGGGCCGCTGCACCTCATCTCGCCCAGCACCACTGCGGCCACAGCTGGTTCTTGACTCCCGCCCGTACCTTTCTCTAATCTTCTGCCACATGTGAAGGCACTCGGCAGGATCCATTTCTGTAATAGAAGGCCAAACTGTAGTCATTTCCAAATTTTCAGCATCCCCCACAATGGAGACTTCCATTCAACATGCGAAATTTCAGTTGATGTGGCCACCATTTCAGTTGGTATGGTACAACCTTTAGTAACAGCTGCTCCAGTTGCATACCAATGCTTAAAAACTTGTTAGTACAACTTGAAAAAGAAATATTTTGATTTTGTTTTTTACTAACTAATCTCAAATAAAGCTTTCTGCCACGTTTCACCCCAAAACCAAACATATTTTCAAGCGTGAGGGTGACAGCTTGCTACGCTTGCACTGCACGATGGGATGTACGACAAAACGTAGAACTTTCATAATTCTTTGTAGCGATAAAGTGCAGGCGAGCTGGTGAGGAATTCAGCCGCTTTTAAAATTTTGTTGTCTTCGTCCGTTTTTATTTTTTTTTATTTTTTACTATTTGAGGGTCTTCCAGTATGTCCATAAATTGTTGCAACTTCTGGCGCCAGTATTTTCTGGCTGACCGTAGTTGCGAGCGCACGCTAGTCGGACTGTGATTTTTGTTAACACTCGGGCCGTGCGAAAATCGGGCGATATAGTTCGTTCCCGCTCTTGAACCGCACCGCAGAATACACCCAATACACCTTCGAGACGAATTTTAGCTTCCCGTACGCGCCTTCACGCATGTGCAATGTTTGTCCTGTCCGTCCTCTTTGTCTAACTCTTTCGTATTTTTGGAACAGAAGAATGCGACGAAACTTACTCAGAGAGGCCCCGATAGCTTTCCAAGAGTTTTCTTTCATACTTGGCAGCCGGTACTCCGGCCTTCGGGCGTCCCAGAGCCATGGGTACTTTTCTACCTCGGCAATGAGGGCTTGGTGAATCGACAGGAGACCACCTTGCGCTGCCATTTTGAAAAGCGACTGGTCCCGCGCTCAGCGCGCATGCGCAGGGGCTTCGCTTCCTCCAGTCCCGATTGGTTGAACGTAAGCGGTCGCAAGAAAAGTTGAGCGGAGCCCAACTCCTTCTGTTACGTTACGACGGGCGCTGCGTCGCTGGTTGCCATAGTAACGGGCGCTCGTAAGTCGTCGTAAGGAATTCGTAACGTAACGTAACGTAAGAAAACGCAAGAAATTGTCCAGTGTGAACGGGCCTTTATCTGTAGTCATCAAAAACACCAAATCATTCATTTTTAAAGAAATGTAGTGGACGTGAAGTGGCTCACGGCGTCCTAAAAAGCCTAATTTGGACGCGAATCGTGTTACCGCAATCTTTTTGGCCACCGCACCTCGCCCCTTCTACAGTGGCGTTGTCGCAGCGATGCGCATGATTTGTCGCTTTGGCTTCATGGCGTTAGGCTGTGCCACGCGGAGATGGAGCCCACATAAAATCAGAACTATATTTTCGCGCCCAAATTAGGAGGACGCCGTATAATAGTGTATACGCGCGTTACATCTTTTTAAGAATGGACGGTTTGGTGGCTTGCGATTATGGCCAACAACTTTCTAAATACAAGATGCCGTTTTCTTCTCTAATTAAAAGGTTAATTTGCGAATTTTAGGTAATTAGTCGGTTTTTGTTGCGTTCTTTCTTGACCCCAATCTTCGCCTGGCCCGTATAGGTTACATCCACAAGACGTTAATTTCGACGTTTTTTTCTAATATCTAGTAGGTGAAAAAAACAAAAAAACAATAAACGTTGTATATAAAACAGGGGGCAGTTCTTTTCTGATATAAATAAAGCGTGGGGCACGCGTCTTGCATGCATTTCTTTTTTTTTTTTCTAGCCTATGAAAACAAATCCCGGGACATTCGAAATTGAGTCTATGATGGGGCGGGCGCTTTATCACGGGGTATTTTGTCATGTTTCATAAGCTCTATTACTAGTCAGAAGGAAGACACGCGAGCCGTATCACGTTGCAAACAGCTGATCGGGTGTTTCTCAAGCAGCTCTAGAACTTTCCAATTGACATTTTGGTTCTTAATACATCTAAAAATGTTTGGTACTTAGTCATAAACATTTAATTTATTAGGCATAATTAAAATACTGCAACTCTCGCAAGACGTCTGCCCAAAACATAAAGGTGGTTTCATTGGCGTAAAGTGGCTGCGTCTTTCATTTTTATGCTTGGTCTTTAAAGATTCGTGAAAAGCATTCGCGACCTTATCTGTCAAGCCGCGTACGCGGACAGCGCGGCCTCCTCGGCAAGTTGTTCCCTCATCGAAGACGACAATGAATAAAAGGTACGATCAAAATCTTAATGCCTGAAGAAAGCGCAAGTTTAAAATAATTCTAAGGGTGTCAGTTGATTTTATTTTTACTATATTCAAATTTCAACACTCGTCGCGGGCAGCATGAAGGGAAGCACTGCACTCTTGGCGCAAACCAGTGCCCAGTCAACGGTCGTACACTCAAACACGCATCACCACCCGACCTGTTTGAAAAATAAATAATTTCCAGTACTTTTGGTAGAAAAAGCGAATTTTCTACTGAGCGTGATATTTTGTGTACCAAAAGTCCTGTAGCCGAGATCGGTAGTTCATAGCTTCAGGAAGACGAAGAACGACGGATGCATTATTTCCCGCGGAAGTACTGTTTTGACTTTGAATTCCACATAAAATTGTATATGCACAAATTGTGGCACGATACCGAACTTGCTTGATTACTTTTCTTTTAAAGACAACATAACCAGGCATAATCTACAGATATTGCAGAATTCATTTTAATTGGCGTACAGCGCGAAAGAGAAGTATGGACATAAAGAACACAATAGAGCTCTGCATTTCTACTGCATTTCTTTCCGTACTTGTGGACAGTTAGTCCGCATGACTATATTCAAAAACTACCAAATCGTTTAAGCCTACCCCTTTTTATAGTTTTTTTCGTAAATGAATTGTGGCGAATCCCGGCTGGGTTCGGGTAAAGATCTCGCACGTGTTCAAGGACACAATTCGGCATGATTTCCCGCTTGGTGACGACGTTGAGCTGACCGCTGTTCCGCTTCTTTTCTAAGTAGGCGGGAAACGCCAGACGCCTAAATTTGCCAAGCAGCCCCAAAACTTGCGGTAGCACACCTTCCGAACTCCTGGGTTTTTTTTGGAGATGGCCTTCGCCCACCCTGACAAAGCCCCAAACAATTATGTAAGTTGAAAGTAGTGAAAGCGCCCGATAAAGACGAATACGAAGACGGAGAGGCAAACAAGACGAGCGCTGACTATCAACTGAATTTTTTATTGGAAAAAATAGAAACAGCAAATAATATTGTGCGCTTTCACTACTTTCAACATGCATAACCAACTCGCCTGCATCGCCACATTAGTTCAGTTTAATTATGTAAGGGCTGCAGAGGCTATCTGGGCATTCCATTTCTTCATCAGCGAACAAATGCGAACAGAAGAGAATGAAAACTTCGTAATACCTGCCGTCTTTTAATAAATGGCATAATATGCTACTATTGCTAGTTGCACTATTTTACGCGAAGAAAATTGTGATTTTTCGGTTCTATCTCCGTGTTTCCCGTTCTATTTGCTGATACGCAAAATATTTGTCGGGTGTCAAGTTTTCAGTTACATTTGTTGACAGAAACTAAATGCACGTTTGGCCACGAAGAAATTTTTTTCAAAGGCTGAAGATAGATGAAATATACAATAAATTGTTTCAGTTTTTATGGAAGTTTGTTTTTACTCTTCTTAGTAGCTTCAACGAGGCGGCCGTCACTCTAGAAAACACCTGTAGTACGAACCTATATATTATGCCCCAGAAATGGTCAGACTGTGTCCCTCTGACTGCAATATCTTTGACTTGTAATTACTCATGATTATTAGTTTGTACAAAAAACAAGAAACAAGAAAACACAATAATGATACAATCACTCTTCAGTGTGCCGTTGTTAGAACGACAAATTTTCAATTCTCTGGGTAGAGCTCAAAGTTCGGATAAAAATACCCATCTTTTTTCCTTCTGCTGTGATGTTCAAGTTCCGTTCACTCGAAATAAATATGCGGTGTTGTAGCCTGTGTGGCCGCATGCGGAAGTATCTGAATGTAAAAGAACTTGTTGTTGGGCAAGTTGGTGTTGACTATCTGAGTGTTTTTAGAACTGCAAAAAAAAAAACGAAAAAAAAAAAAAAAAAAAAAAAAAAAGAAGAAAAGCGAGCCAGCCCGAACTTTTCCGCGCTCATATCCAGCCTGCCAAACTAATCCCTGGTGTTTGGGATTGAAGCAGAGAACCTTGAAGGGTTACGGAGGTTTTGTCGGGGGGCCGGTAAGCCCATTAGCACTCGTGCGAGAAGGCCGAACAAAGCGAGGAGGGAAATGGAGGAGGAAAGGGGAGGAGGAAAAAAAGAAAAGAGGGGGAATCTTCTGCCACGCTGAAGAAAATTTTGAGTTCCCGCCTTTAACGGAAATTGAGGCCCAGGTCTGAGTTATGTACATCGTGATATGTCCAATACAGGCTATCAATTCAAGCAAAAAAACATGAAAGACGTTTACTATTCTCTGTAACGCCGAATTGGAGCGCAGCTCTTGAGGAGGAGGAGGGGAGGGCACGGAAGGAAGGGTATGCCTCCCCCTTCCCCGCTAAATTTAGCGGGAATATTGGCAATGTTAGATGCATGGACGTTACGTGACGTCACACGTCTCGTGTTTCCCATAAGGACGTCACACGTGGCGTCACGAGGGTTACGTTTTGACGTTACCCTCGTAACCCTCATGGGGCGGGGGTACCCTCGCGAGGGTAACCCTCACGGTGGTTAACCTTACGAGGGTAACCGTCGTGAGGGTTGCCCCGTGGAGGGTTGCCTCCGTGAGGGTTACCCTCACCCCAGTGAGAGTAACGTAACCCCTATGGGATTACACTCACAGAGGTGAGGGTAACCCTCACGAGAGTTAATCTCACGAGGGTTACCCTCGTAAGGTTAACCACCGTGAGGGTTACCCTTGTGAGAGTTACCCTCATGAAGGTTACCCTCGTAAGGGTAACCCCTGTGAGGGTTACCCTTTTGAGGGTTGCCCTCATGAGGGTTGCCCTCGAAAGAGTAACCCCGTGAGGGTTACCCTTGTGACTTTACGTGTGACGTCACACGTCCCATAATGTGGCGAGTGGCTACGGAGACGCCAATGCCACTCAACCCGCAAACGGGCGCCTAAGAGCTGCGCTCTCAAAGAACAACTAAAAAGTGCGTAGGGTCTATTCAAGCTGCAGTAGCATTGAGATGACAGAAAAGCAGTTTGTTACTAACCCAGTGCGTGTTCTTCGTTCCATAACTCCATGCTTCGTCCTTGTTGTCTGTTTTGATTGTTTGATTTGGCTTATATTAGCATCCTTTTGGTGTTTTGTCAAGCTGATTCACTCTGTGGGCTTCATAGCATTGACTCATATATAGCGATATGTTTATCGTAAAGATTCAATCCAGCGTTGTCATAGAGAAAGC